GCCCTTCCAATGCTCCTTGGCATGTTGCATTAGGTTGTTTGGGCAGATCTTCTGTGACAGGTAGGCATGAAGTGTTTTCCTGGTATCACCAGACCAAAAGCAGTTGTTTCAAAAGCTCTCTCTTTTTCTCTTGTGTGAGAAACATGAGACATACTAAATTTGCTGGTTTATGTCATGATTAACACAAATGCAGCAGTGGGATGTGATGTGTTGGAGCACAGTGCACACCTGAAATGTTGAAAATGTTCATCTTTTAATTTAGTGCATTCACGGTGATGATTCCTCTTCAACAGTTGGGAGTAAATCCACTGTAAAATAACCAGCAGCCTGGTTGATCAAGCTTACTGAGGACATGTCGCTATAGGACACAAGACAACACGACGCAGACACACTGCTGTTCTCAGGTTAGGAAGAGAGAGATTTATTTTCTGACTCTTACTTTTATAGATTTCCAAAGGTGACATAGGATTGGAGGGTGAAAGTGTCACCTCTCCAGGGACACTGGACAAGCCAACAGTCCATCAAGTTTCTCCTCCTCCATAAAGGAATGCAAAACAATAAGTTGTTTACAGAAAGTGTGTGAGAAAGTTTGATACAAGAATGCAAACATCAGAAAGCTTAGAAAATCTTAAGAAATCAAAGCGACAAGGACAAAATACAATTTCCAGTCCATAGCTTGAATCTTCAGAATTTAGTCCTTAAGTGAGATGAAACAAAGCCCATTTTTCTTAAAAGGATATATTTTACTACACTAGGAGATTAAAAAAAAAAAAAAAAAAAAAGACAGGAGAAAGGACGGTGCCCTGTAGCTGCTTTGAGATAAGATTTCTGATCCTCGTTATTGATGTCCCTCAACAGAGGGGCTGGTTGGACCATTGGGAAGTGCTTGAATGAGGATGTGTGTTGTAGACACGAGTTTTACAGTCGCCAGGCTCTGCCAGCAGTGTCCCAGCCAGGATGGTGACAGGACGAGGCAGTGGCCACTGGGACCTCTGCCTGTGCTTCCACAGCCCCAGTGTGAGACAGGAGCCCCTCAGGAACCCAGGGGAAGTTTGGGATAAACACGACACTTGACAGTGTGAGCCGGGACCCAGCAGGCACTGAGAGCAAACTAACTTTGCTGTGGGGATACTCAGAATGTAATTGGACAAATTAGGAGATAATTACCTTTTTTCCTCTTAAAAAGATAATATTTGCTGGCATTAATTTATCATTTTATCTTTAGTCTTTTGCTGACTCAGATAAAATTATTAATAGTTTTATTGTTTTTAACATATCATCAGAAAGCAGAAAATTATTTTCTCAATTAACACAATTGATAGTGTTATCACTTTAGCTGCATTCATCTTTCATTCGAGCCCTACTGACTTTCTGTGGGGTGACTCTGGGTCTATGGACATCTTTTGTTTCACGTTGCCATTTATCTCCTGCCATTAATCTGCTTTTACAAATAATTGCTACACTTGTCTGTGGGCCATCACTTTGGAAATAATATTTGACTTCTTGTTATCTCTTGTCAAGCACATTAAAGCATCCCTGCCACAGTAACTTCCACAGAGGATTTTGACAGCATCTGAGGATAGTTCAGTTTCTGGGATTCCTATTGCACTCCCTGTACATTGCTGTTTCCCATACTAAATAACTTTTGTCATTGAGCTACAACATGCTTTTAGTTTTTTCAGATTTTTTTTAATGGTTGTCATTAATATTTCCTTCATTTTCCTGCAAATTTACAAAAATACTTTCCCCATTTTACCAGTTTAGCTGTCACACATAAATTGGGTACATCCACTTTTGGCTGGCTAACATAAGCACAGTGATTGTTTTCTTATTAATTTAGATTAATTACTAATTAAGATTTCTTACTCGTTTAGAGTCTTACTAAGTTAGATTAAGGACTTCAGATTTTGCTGCTATGTGCCCATATTTGTCTAAACCCCATGTAAGAGGACACAATAATTTGAACCTGGCTTGCTACACCTCCCATTTTTAGCTTCCCAAAATGTTTTGGGAGTTCCCAGGAACTTGCAAAAAAATGAGGATTGGTAAGCATGGATCCCTTGTGTTTCTACTAAAATAATATTTCATAGTCCCTGTTGCTGACCATTAACTTCTAGGGGCTGTGTATCAGATGATTTACGACCTTTATCAAGCATTTAATACTGGGATAACTTATAAAACACATGTGTAAATAAAACCAACAGAGCTGGCAGTTCAAATCTTGCTTCCTGAAATAATGCATTTGTGAAAATGCACGTCCCCTACATTTGCCACATTTTGCCTACCAGTATGAAAGTTGTCCCTCTCCACATTTTTAAACTCAATATTTAGACATTAGATGCTGATTAGGATTGTGGCTTTTCTTGACTTGGAATTGTAAGAGGACTAATTATCAGCCCAGTTAATTACACACTTTTCTGTCTTATGCATTCTAAAAGTGAGATTGATTCTGGAATAAAGCTTTATTTTGGGGGCACTGTTAATTCCTGACTAATCAGGATGATGAATATCTTTTAAAGCCATAATCAAGAATGAATCTCCTGCATTATATGTCACTAACAATTTTTTGTGTAAATTAAGTAGAGTTGTTTTTTATCTTCTTATATCTGAAACTTATTTTTAATTCACCAGACAGGATTTAAAACAATAAGAAAAGTTTGTGTACATACTTGGAAGTTAGACATTAATTTCCCTTTATTTTTGTTGAAAATTTTCAAGAAATAATGCGCTGTCTCTGCTTAAAGCTGAGATAAAGTGTTTCTTTTTCAGCAGCTGGAGAGCATAGTTTGTCACAATATTAAAATTTGCAAGCAGGTAAACAATTTATATCAAGTGAAGCAGCAAAATTTTCCATGTCTAGGAGAACCACAGAGGGCTTTCTCCTGTCCCAAGGCTGTGATTTGTCCGGCAAACCTGCACCTTTGCTTTAAGGCAGATTAGAAAACCCAGCGTCTGCACTTCTGGCTGGGTTTAGCATACACAGAAGTTGAAATTTCCTATTTAAAGCTACTTTGTTTGTCTGCTTGGATGTAGCAAAATATTGTCCTTGTGAGCCACCTGATACTGACTGGAGTGGGAGATTCTGCTGTGGCTCAAAGGAGGAACATGCCCTTAAACACTCTGATATTTGCATCAAACCCAAATTGTGCTGACAGGTCCCAGGTGTGCTTTTCCATTTGCATCACTTCAGCCACCCCCATGGTTCAAATGCTGCAGCCACACAGGGACCCTGCAGGGGACACAAAATCACCAGGATCCTTTTAAAGGCCTGGTGGAACCTGGATCAAGACCTGTGGCTTTGATAGGATGGACAGGATGATCCTGATTATTCCCCAGATTCACTCTTTAGTCCATGCTTTTGTACAAGACAAGGCCTTTTCAGACTGTCCAGGCTGTTGTACCAAAGAACCTGATCCAAACCAAAATGGTTTCTCTGCTGTCTGGAACAGTTATTTTTTTAAAAATTATTTTTAAGTTAATCAGCCTTTTTTTTTTAATTAAAAAAACCCCAAAACACAATGAGGCTGCTGAACTTTAAATACTTAATGATGCATGGAGCCATATGCCTGGATGATTTTTTTTTCTTTCCTATGTCTAGAGTAGCAGTGTGCCTTCATGGCTCAATCCCCTCCAGTAAAATCTTTCTTTTTTCTTTTATTGTCCTTTAGAAGAACAGTAGGGAGAGGGTTGTGAGAGCTTCAGGTGTACATGGGTGTACCTGGCCACCCAAGTCTGTTATTGACAAGACTGCCTGTCATCAGGATGCCAAAGAGAGAGCAAATGGGTAAAATAAAGAAATAATTTTTGTCTCCTTTAGTCTCCTTCCAAGTTGGACTTTTGAGTGGAAAAATGTAGAGCTTCACAGCTTGTCCCAGGTTCCACAGCAAAAGTTATGGAAGCCCTAAGTCAAGTGTTAAGTTCATGAGTGCCATTCTTGCCCCAGCAAGCACCAGCAAGAGGAACTGGGGTGTCTGAATGCCCTAAACAGCTCCTGGCTGGGTGGTTTCAAACATGGCAGAAATGTTTTTGTCTTATGCAGGAGCTCCTCTTCAGTTGTCCTGGAGGGATGATTTTCATGGGTGTTTGCCAGATTCCCATTTTCCCCTACCAGGGTTCCCTTTATTTATATTAACATGTTTGACCTCAATAACCCATTTCCACGCAAAAGAAAATGGAAAGAAAACCCAACAAGCCTTTCTAGATGACTCTATTGTTTAATGCTCCTGCTGCTTCACAATTCCAATGGCCAATTGTTGTTTATAACTGTGGCCAAGTTATTTGCATTGGAACACAACACCTAAGGAACTCTAAGGAGAATTTATGGATGTAATTTTTCACTCGCCTGTGAAATTTGCAGAGCTGCCATCTGCAGACATCGTGCCCCTCAGGATACAAAGAAACTGCTGGGACTGCCCTGCAGATCATTCCCAGCTTCTTGGCATTGTGAGAAGCATGTGTATAGACAAAGACAAGGAGCACAGACTCAGCTCCAGCTTTCCTCCAGTCCTGTCACTGGTCATGAGAAGGAACAGATCAGCCCCTGCCCCTCCTCTTCCCTTCATTAACATCCCTTCACTAACTTCCCTTCTTTAACATCCTCCATGAGGATGTTAAAGACCCCACTGAGGTCTCCTTTCCCCTCAGTCTCCTCTTCTCCAGGCTGAACAGAACACATCACCTCAGCTGCTCCTCAAAGGCTTCTCCTCCAGACCCTTCACCATCCCCGTGGCCTCCTCTGGACACCCTCCAATGGCTCAACGCCTTTTTCCTGTTGTGGTCCCATGTAAATAATGATGTTCTTGGGTAAATTAAGTCATGACCTAAATCATGGTATGATGCTTTATGCAAGTTTGAATGGTATCCTGAAATGCCCTGGAAAGTGTCAGGGCAGAATGGAAAATGGGAAGATGGATCCTGTGCAGGAACAAAAATATCTTCACATTTTCTAACAGCAGCTGTGATCTGTTGCAAACTCTGTTCTTTTGTTTTTCAGGCACTTCACTGGACATGAGTGGGATGGGATCAGATCACAACAATTCTTCCCAGGAAGAATACATCCCACACAATCTCCAAAAGGAAGATCCCTTTGCATCAAAGCTTTCTAGAGAAGCTGACATCATAGCTGGCTTTTATTTGACAATAATTGGTAATGATTTTATATTTGGTCTTTGAAATGTGACTGTGCTGCTGCATCCTAGCAGCTCTCAGAAAAGAGGCAGAAACTGCTGTTCATTAGATGTTAATTACACATTTTTTCATACTAGAAAATAATATCTGGGAGGGAGGAGAGATAATGTGTTAGAAATATGGTGTCAATAGTTAATATCAACAGATAACGCTGCTGCAGGTAGCCAAAAGTGACTAGCAGTAGATGTTTCAGCAAAAAGTGAAGAAATACTTATTGTTTTTAATAACTGATAGATTGCTACTCAGCAGTTTAATTCATCCCTGGGCAGAATAGGGCTGTCCTCACTATGCATTGTGGGTTTTATGGCTTGTTCTCACAGCCTCTCTCATGAGCATACCCAGCAGTGAACACCCTCCTATGTGTTCATGTGACCATTGCTCAGCTCCTGGCATCATCTGTCCTCTGTTACACATCATATTGAGCAATATTTTCTGCCTAGCACCCTCCCCATCCTTTTGTGTTAGAGTCCTTTACAAGGTTCAAAGTGACCTTGCAAGCAGAATAAATACAATTATTTATTGGTTAGTGCACAGTCATGATAGCAGGGACTGATTTCAAAGTATTCACATGCCAAGGAGTTATCATTTAGCAGGAAAATGCTGGTCTCTATTTCTTCTGGGGATAAACTGGACCTTATTCTTGATAGTTTGCTTTCTTTACTTTGTGGAGGAGGGCAGAGTTATGTCTTTTTGTGTCCATATTTGACTCGACACCTGAGGGAATGGCATGAAGCTGAGTCAGGGAGGTTTAGGTTGGACATCAGGGAAAGGTTCTTCTCCCAGAGGGTGGTTGGGTGCTAGAACAGCTCCCCAGGGCAGTGGTCACAGCACCAAGCCTGACAGAACTCAAGAAATGTTTGGGCAAAGCTCTCAGGCACAGGGTGGATTCTTGGAATTGTCCTCTGCAGGGTCAGGAGATGGACTTGGATTATCCATGTGGGTCCTTTTCATCTCAGGATATTCCATATTCTATTCTATTCTATTCTATTCTATTCTATTCTATTCTATTCTATTCTATTCCATTCCATTCTTCTTTATATATTTTAAGTTCATTTATGCTGTATGGTCTTACTTCATGCAGTTTTTCACAGCTCAACAGCAATTTTCTCACTAAAACTCATCTGAGGACAGAACTGTTCTACAAAAAACCTGGGCTCCAGGTGTCAGCTGCCTTCACAGGGCTGAGCACAGGGTGTACAATGATTACTTGACATTTATTTCAGTTTTGATTTATTGTCTTGTTCAAGGAGTTGTGCAGAAAATACCAAGATCTGTCAGTCAGTCCTACCTTTGTGTTTCTCATTCACTGCTTTACATCCCCCTCTACTCTGTCTTACTGCTTTTCGTCTGACTGATCAAATTAATGTAATGTTTTCCAGAGTGGAGGTAGCAGAGATTTTATTATTATTTCCCTTCTATTTATGTTTCTGTTTATTTCTCATTTTTCTTCTGCTTATGTCTTTATTGAAAAAAGAATTCAGAGCAGCAGAGGTGACAGGTGAAGCTGTATCTCAGTGCTGTTCTTGGTGTTCATGCACTGTTTTGTAGGTATCCTCACTTTTCACACATCTAATTTTTTTCTGTTGCTCTGCAGAGAGAAGTTTTCACTGAACTGTACAAAACAACCTCTTTGGGTCTTTTTTTCACTTGGTTAAGTAAACTTAGCTTTAATCCCAAGAAATATGTCTGATGGATGAATCCTCCCAACATACACTGTGTTGCCTTGTTATATTCACTGTATTTAGTGTAGATTTATCCTGTTCCAAAAATTACCCCTGTCAGGTGTGAAACATCTTGAAAAGCACAGGCATAATCAAATTAAGGCAAGGAAGAAGAATCAAAAACTTCCAGTGAAAAGCAAAAAGCCAACCACAAAGGCACAGAGCAATTTTGTGAGCAATGTGAGGAAAGTGAAATGATAATTTTAAAAGGTCTCATAATCATTTTGATATTGGGCTTGTGAACTCATTGCACCCAGTGGCCTGGGTCAGGGTAGCTCTGCTCTACCTCTATGTTTCTGTACACATCATATCCCACATTTAGCTTAAATTAACTTAATTTTTTAAGTGTGTGTTTTGAAATGCAACCAAGTAAAATTACTTGGTTAATTGCTTTGCCCTTGAGTGCATAACAAACTTCACTAGTGGCTTTCATTAGAGCTAATTATGATCTTCCCATTTCCATATAAGTGCTGTATTTTCATATTCCTTGGATCTGTAGAGTAAAGATATTAGGAAAAAAATTCTTCCCTGAAAGAATTGTTGAGCAGAGGAATGGGCTGCCCAGGGAATGATGAAGTCTTTAACCCTGGAATTGTTCAGAAAATGAGTGGAGGTGGCACTTTGTAGTATGGTTTGGTGGAAATGGTGGTGTTCAGTCAAAATTTGGACTTGATCATCTTGGAGGTCTTTTCCAACCTAAATGATTCCAACCTAATAAACCACCATGCCTGTGGTGACTTGTGTTTCAGAGCAAACCTGTCACATTTTTCCACTGAGCTTCCTTTGCAAGAAATTGAGGCCCCTCCTGAGGATGGCCTGTGGGTACCTCCTGACAGCAGGGACAGGGAAGCAGGAGGTGGGAAGCCAGGACTGCTTTCGTGCATCTTTTTGCACTTGAGCTGTGTAAGATGCAAGTGAGTTTAAAATTTCTTTCAAAAAGGAGAAAAAGCTGAACGATGAGTGAACAAGGCTGGATCTTATCAGGAAACTCTGCAGAGGTTTTAGGGTCAGACTGGGTGTACAGCTGAAGTATTTCAGTTTGAAATAGAAAAATAATTGGGTTTTTGTCTTTGAAGAAAAATCAGGAGTCTTGACTAGTCTGATAAATTCTATGTGAGTGCATGATCCTTTGTCTTGAGTAGTTCATTTCCATGTGTAGCTTTCTAATTGCCTAGAAAAAAAAATCAGACTATGCACATAGTTATGAGAATCCAATTCTTTTTTCTTTGCCACTTCCCCCACCAGCTTTTTCATCACTGCCTTGATTGATTCACTGTACAGCCAGGCAGGGTGACAAACTATTGAGCAGGGACCTGCTGGCTGCCAGCTCCTCTGAAACCCCTTGGCAAGTCACTATTGATTTCCAAACTGTGTGCACACTTCCTCAGCCTGTTATGAAACAGCTTAATTGAAAACAAAATCCTGAACTATCTTCCCCCACCCCCCTTTTTTTTTTTTTTATGTATTTTCTCTAATGGTTTAGTGCCACTGTCAGGCTGGAGAAGTGGAAGTTTATTTCTCCAGCTGGTTACTTGTAAGCACTTTCCCCTCTCTCTGCAGGTCGTGTGTCTCAGCCTGGCTCTGTCTCTGCAGGTGCCACTTTTTTAGTTATTACATCCTTGGCTCTTTGGATGTATGTAATAGTGCCACAGTGCCATGGGCAGTTTTCCTGGAAAAGAGGCTTTTTTTTAACATCTGAAGAGTCTTTTTCCAACCTACCAGAGTTGGGAGCCTGCTCCAGCAAGGGCTTCAGCTGACTGCTGGGAAAGTCATTTCCTAGCAGGAGAAATGGAGCATTGGATGCCTCACCTGAGGATATCATAGAGTTTTGATCACGAAGGAGTTAAAAAAAAGATTCAGATAAGCAATTTTCAGATGCAGGCATAGACAAAAGGCAACACAAATGATCACTGGACCCCTTCCAGCCACGGGGTTAAGAGGGATTAGGATGGGCTGGGACTTTCTGAAACATTGATATTAATAATGAGCAGTGGTTTCAGAGCAACTTGGCAACTTCAGAGCTACTTGGCTGATAGAGATGTCTCTCTAGACTGCCAGTCAGTTGAAAAAGACTCAGGAAAATGTCAAACGCTTTCAAAAGGTATTTCAGACTGGATGCTGGCACTCTAGTTATCCTAAATATCACTGGAGAGGAAAATGGCATTAAGAGAGAAAAGGATTAAAATACATGAAAAATGCTCACAGCACTGAGATTCATTCACTCAGCTGTGAGGCAGAAAATGACTTATATGAATACCTCTATCTGCTTATAATTCAGAGCTGCTTATAATTTGCAGAGCCATAAGAATAGGTTGTTCTTAGAATTTAATTCACCCAAGGTAAATAAAATTTAATGAGAAAACCTAAGATCAGTAATAAGCCAGCTTCTCGTCTTCTGTTTATTTTGTAAAATAATACAGAAAACAATACTGTCAACATAAAAAGTTTCCAGTGTGTTGCAGTTAATACAGAAAAATTTAAAATCAAAGTATTTTTCTCCTGAGTTTGGTATACTTTTGGTTCCTCAGTCAGTCATATTTCTTGATAAAAAATTTGGTTTTAGCATCTGGGAACCATTTCTCTCTCTGCCTCATGGACGTTCCCAGGTTGGGTTCCTGGATTTTGTGGGGACAAAAGCACCCTTGCAAGGGCATTGTGCCATTGATGGACCAGAGTAAATAACAAAATACCCATTTAAATACTGGATTATTTATTACTGAATTACCAAATTAATCACTAAATAATTAAATACTCAATTACCGAACTACATTTCCAGGGTCTGGCCTGCAGAAGACTCAGATGAAAATTACATGGTGTTCAAAGGTACAACATTTGGAGAGGGCAGCATTGCTGGGGGGCTGGAGGGTGCTGGGGCCCTCTGGAAACAGAGCTTGCCCCAGCAGAGCCCCATGTACAAGGCAGCACAAAGGGTGACTTTGATGCCTCATCAAACGTTGAGTTTATCACTTTTTTTGGAGAGGTGTGAGGAGTTGTCCTCAGCAGGTAGCCAAGCACTCAGGACAACCCTCAGAGTGGGACAGGGAGGAAACAGGCAAAGAAAAAGCAGTGGAGATGAAGACAGGGTGGGGAGAAAGACAGAAAGATCCACTCCCTTACTTACTGCAGTGGGCAAACAGGCTCCTTGAGGGAATAAATTCAGCATCATGGAATCACAGAATGCTTTGGGTGGGATGGACCTTAAAGATCAGCTCTCTCCAACTCTCATCGTGTGGTTCCAGCCCCCAAAGCTTAATGTTTATTTACTGATTTCAGTAGTGAGAAACAAAGGTGTCAAACCTAAAATACTTATGGAAAGCACTCTTCTTATGGAAAATGCCCTTCCTCACTCTTTCCTGGGCTGAACTTCTCTCCAGCGTTTCCCTCAGTGCTGTTGTATGTCCCTTTTGCGGGGCAATGGCAGCACAGGCACTCTTTGCTCTTCACTCTTCTGCATTTCCCTTGCTCTGACGTGTCTCCCCTGGTCTGGTGTGAAGCTCAGTGGGCCATGGTCCCTTTGGGATTTTCACCTTCTGGCTCCATGAGAGGGATGTTCTGTGCTGTCCTGTGTTTCCACAGCAAAACTCTCACTCCGACCTTAAACTCTTTAAAACATGAATTAGTGAAGACACATTTTCTTTAAGGGAACTGGAAACCCTACAATTTTCTGCCTGGTGTGATTAATTCCATGGCAGATGCACCACTTGCAGAGCTGATACCTGAGGGTCCTTGAGTGATGAAATGGAAAAAAATATGTCAGCCAATATGAGAAGGATCCCATACACTTAATTCCACCTGGAAGTTAAAATCAGAATAATCAGATTTATTTTATAATTTTTCTTTCTTATGATAGAAATAACTTTTTTATGTAAGATTTAAGATTTGATATTAATATATAAACTGGAAATTTATCCCTTAACATCTGATTAGGGTATTTAATAAAGTTGAAATTAGTCAGATTCTGGTTCCTGTGATTACAGAGAGCTGAATTTCATTCTTGTGGCTGTATAAACCTTTGAGTGAGAACTGTGCTGGTCAGGGCAGGGGGATTCTGGGGTTTCTGTTGTGAGCATTCAGTCGATGTCTGAGCAGGCTCAGCTGGTGAAAGCCATGCCCTGCTGCAGAGGGGAAAGCAGCATTTGCTGAGGGAGGGATGTGTCTGCAGCCGAGGTCTCTGGAAGCTGCACAGAGACAATGAGAGGATCACATTTCAGGGCAAAATGCCCAGCCTTAGGGACCACAAGTTCAGGCTGAAAATATCAGGGAATTTCCCAAGGAAGATGGAGTATTGCTGTTTTTGAGAATGATTCTAATTTGAATGTTATTCTATTTTCCATTATCAGGGATCCTTTCAACTCTGGGAAATGGGTATGTTATTTTTATGTCCTCAAAGCGAAAAAAGAAGCTGAGGCCTGCTGAGATAATGACTGTTAATTTAGCAGTGTGTGATCTGGGCATTTCAGGTAATTTCATGTTTTTATTTTCCCTCATTTTTACTATCTCTCCATTCTGCCTGGCAGCAGCAAGACACATTCCTCTGGAAGTCATGGGAGCATCAAATGCCTTTTGCTGCAGATATTTCTGCTCTATTATTTGCATGTAAATAATAGGGGAGGATGGAAAACAACATTCCTGAACAACTTGAAGGGAAGAAATTAACAGCACAGAGGAAAAATTGGGGTTGATTTTATCAAACAGGCAGAGCTCCTGTTCACCCCAGCACTGGGCAGGTCTCCAAAGGCAGCTTCCATGTGCACCCTGGCACAATAACCACAAAATAGCTCAGCATTACAGGGGCAGAAAATTATGTTTTCTTGCCATAGGGTGAAATAGAATGGATCTAAATGCCTCAAAGATACAAGTTTAGCCAAATAATTGGAAAATGCCAGTGGCCATCAGCTGATCAAAGCTAATAGTTTTCTCTCTAGTGGCCAACCTCCTTTGTCTCTGGATCAGAAAAAATAAGCATTTGTGTCAATCTGTAGAGTATCAGCCAACTGGGAGGATTTTTATTTCAACCCCACAGTCTGGATGTCCTGGCATTGGAGGAGGGAGCTTTGGAGAGGTTTATCCAGAGTTGCAGAGATGGTTGTTTTGGCTCTTGATATGAGGCTGATTCAGCTGCTCACAGGGAAAGGGCTGGATGCCCTTTAGAAAAGGATATTTTGGATGGCAGACAATCCAGTGGGTATCAGGACCCAGCTGACTGTGGGATCTCCCCAGTGCCATATAAAGGGAATTATATTCCCATGCTTGCAGGGGCATCTGTCCCCTGTGTGCTGTATACACTGAAACCTCTGCCCTCAGCTCCACTGCACCCTTTTCCTACCCTTGTCTCTGCCAGATGCTTTTGCCCTCATCTAAACTCCAAAAATATCACTGAACAATATAAAATGGTGGCTCACAGCTTCCCCAGACTGATGCCTTTTTGAACTCTCACAGCAGAAGACCAAAGATCTGCTCATTCCTGCAAATTCCAGTGGTTTTGGTCAGTAAACATGGATTTCTGAAGGAAACACTAATTCAGTAGAAGAAAGATGTTAGTATAAATATCACTGCTACCACATAGAGAAATCCCAATGATTTCTTTGGCATTTCTGTAATGGACCAGAATCTTCATCTCTCAACCCTTAGAAGTTAAGGAAAAACCCCAGGCTGGCTTTTCCCTCCTCTGTGATATTCCCATTTTCTTTGTGTTTTAAGAATCTGTATTATAAGGCTCATATTAGCCACTCCAATGAGAAGGAGTGCTTCAGGAGAATTTCCCCAGCTTTATATTATGAATGTTGCCCAGAGAAGCTCTGGATGCCCCATCCCTGGAAATGTCCAAGGCCAGGTTGGATGGGGCTTGTAGTAACCTGGGATAGTCGATGATGTCCCTGCCCTTGGCAGAGGGGTTGAGATGGGCTTTAAAATCTCTTCCAATCCAAAATATCCTGCGATTCTGTGATTGAATGATTTTAACAGGTATCTCCTAACTATAAAAACTATGTCCCAACCACTCAAACTACAGCTTGTGTGGGACCCCTCTTAGTGCAAGGGCTGGAAGTGTCTCTGTCATGATCTGCTACCAGTGCACCACTTGTCACCTTGCTTTCTTCCATGGGGATCTCAATCCATCTGGGCTTTAAATTTTGGAGTTAAAAATAGTGATTCCCAGAGCCATGCTTGGTTCTCTAATTTTTTTTTTTCTTTTTTTTTTTTTTTTAATTAATGGAAGGTGCTAAGTTGAGAAATGTGATGGATTCTGTCTGCTGGACACACTGAAGAAAGACTATTTTTTTTTTCACACAACCCTCATATTTCACACACTTGTCTTAACAACTGAGGTTTCATAATGAGGAAAGCCTGCCCCTGATTGGTTCCAGAGTGTGGGTTTACCTCTGGTTCCTGTGGTTATAGTACAGCCCCACTTTCCAGCCCTTCTGGGGGCTTGGCTCATCCTACCTCATCCCTGGTGCCATGGGATCCAGCTACAGCTGCCTGAGCCTCAGTCCTGTGCATGGAGTGCTCACAAGCCATGGAATCACAGAATGCTGTGGGTTGGAAGGGACCTTACAGAGCATCTTGTTCCAACCCCTGCCTTGGGCAGGGACACACTCCAGTGTACCAGATTGCTCCAAATCTCATCCCACCTGGCCTTGAACACATCCAAAGATGGAACACCCACAGCTTCTCTGGGCAACCCATGGCAGTGACTCACCACCCTCACAGTAAAGATTTTCCTCCTAATATCCCATCTAAATTTACCCTCCAGCTTAAAATCATCACATACTCTGCCTGAAGCCCTTTCTCCACGTTGAGCACTTTTATGGGTATTGGTTTTTGCAAGAGAGAGGGTTTGCCTTTCTGATGAAAGGAGATTTTCTCGAGGATGGGCTTCTGACATTCTCTCCTCCTTTAAGTTGTAGGCAAACCCTTCAGCATCATCTCCTTCTTTTCCCACCGCTGGATTTTTGGGTGGATAGGCTGCCGCTGGTACGGGTGGGCTGGTTTCTTCTTTGGCTGTGGGAGCCTCATCACCATGACAGCTGTCAGCCTGGACAGGTACCTGAAAATCTGCCACTTGTCCTATGGTAAGACAAATATGTATCTATATATGGATAACTATTGTTTATGACAGTGAAAAAGTTGTATTAAGTGCTATGGTTCACTACACTGAAGTAATAATTAAGCTCTTCAGAATACTTTTCTTACAGATAGAGGGAAGTGCACAGAGGAGAGAAACATATTTGCATGATCCAAAAAGTCCCAGTTAAATTCATTTTGCTGGACATAACGCTCTCATTGTTGTCCCTCTGCTGTCTGCTTAAGCCATGAGTTTTTGTAACCCCTCCACAGATAAATCACTTTATGTCTATCAAGGCCTATCTGCATTAACAGATGCAAGTAATGCACATATTGCGGGGTCTTATCGACCAAACATAAAAATATCCCTTATTAAATGCCTAAATTCCTCTGCGGTGTGTGGCAAGCTATTTAAAGCACCTAAGAGATTTGGAAGGGCAATAAGTCATAATGTGAAATAGTCTCTCAAATATGAAAATGGAACCTGAGAAGATGAAATGAATTTATCAGTGTAAGGTGTTACCACCATATCCATCAGTATCTTCTACCTCTGGAATATGATGTGTTATATGCTCAATTCTTTCCAGATAAATGATATTGTCACAGTTCAGAAAATATGATCTTCCTGCAATGTAAGGGACTAAATTCCCATCGAAATACAGGGAATACTCAAGGTGACTTTACAAGTAATAAACACCTTGTCCATGTGACTTGAGGGACACAACAGATTTCTTTATGATGACATGAAATATCGATCATGTTAAGCTGTAAGGAAGGTTTGCAGCTAGGAAGTGTAAATAAGCCAGTCTGTGCAAGCAGATAAAATCTGTGGTACTGTGCTAAGTTGTGCTATCACAGACCTGGTGTGTCATACTTTTACCCTAAATGGGAGCGCAGGGGAGGTCTCCTTAGCTGAGTGTTAGATCAGCAATAATATTAAGCAGGATTTCAGTTCTTTCTATAGAAGTCTTATCAAAATAATTCAGTGGCAACCCAAATCACAGACAATTTTTTACACACTAGGTGAGCTGAAGTGAATATTTAATGGCTGCATTCATGCCACCAGCTGTGGTGTTTAACATGATATCTTAGTTCATGAGAGAGAAAACTCCTCAAAACATTTATTCTCAAGGGGTCTGATCATGGTGGCCCATACAAAATTATGGAGAACAATAAACAGACATGTTTATCATGCTCTGTCTAGGTCGTTAAAAAATGTTTCTCTTTTAATAGTTATGCTATTGTTGCTTTGTTTTTCCACCCCTGAACACAACAAAGCACCTTTCTGTCTCTCAGACATAATACATGAATGCTTCATTTGTCAGGCAATGTTCATTTTCCTTCCAGTGATCTCGACATGTAAAATCAGCTGAAAAGGGACGCTTCCAAATTACAGGTGTTTCTTTGCTTTGGTTTTATTTTAAATCTTAATGTTAGTGTGAAGTGAGTGAAAAATCCCCTGTGAGTCAGAAACTACAAATGAATCGGGGATTCCAAGATGGAAGAAACCATATTGCAAGTTTCTGTAAAAATGAAAGATTTAAATTTGTTAGTTCTATCTGAGTCCTATATGTTGAACTTGTAGATGATCATGAAAACTCTGCAAACTGAAACTTTTTCTAGATTAATTAAAACCATATGCAAGATGAGCAGAGAGACAGTGTTCTGATCTCCAGAAGTTCTATTTGAATTTACTTAAAAAAAAGGCAAGGTTACATGAAAACACTTATTACAGATACTGCTGACAGGATACACATGGTGATTTTCTGTACTGGAAAAGAATGAAAAAGTAATATTAAATCTTAGTTATCTTATTTCCACTGTAAAGCCTTGTCTTTCAGTCACTGAGTTTGAGCTTTAGTCAGGTAACACAGGAGAGAAAGAATAGGAAAAAACCTAAGTGACATTGAAGAATTGAAATTACTGGACAAGATTCCCCTGACTAGTTGTTTGGATTTCTTTAGTTTGGACTCTTCTCAGTTCTAATTAATCACAAATTAAAGCAAAGATCTGAAATAAGGACAGGTGGAGCCTTCCATGTGAGTGTGCCTTTGTCTTCATGAGGCACAATGTGAGCTCAGGGTCACTTTGGACACCTGGAAAGAGCCAAGATGAACATGACAGAATTGTTGTCAAACAGTCAAGAAACCTCATATTTCACAGAATCACAGAATGGTTTGGGTTGGAAGGCACTTCAAACACAATCCAATTCCAAAGGCTTCCACAGGGACAGCCACATCCAGCCTGGCCTCAGACCCTTCCACGTGACACGACGTATTCCAAACACATCTGGACATGAACTTGTAACTCTTGACTTTTCCTCCAGGTACCTGGCTTAAGAGACATCATGCATTTATCTGCCTGGCAATAATCTGGGCCTATGCTACGTTCTGGGCTACAGTGCCTTTTGCTGGGGTGGGGAGCTACGCCCCCGAGCCCTTCGGGACCTCCTGCACTCTGGACTGGTGGCTGGCACAGGCTTCAGTGGCTGGACAGGTTTTTGTTCTGAGCATCCTTTTCTTCTGCCTCCTGTTCCCAACTGCGGTGATTGTGTTTTCCTACGTCAAAATAATTTTAAAAGTCAAGTCATCCACCAAAGAAGTTTCTCACTACGATACCAGGATTCAGAACAGCCACATACTTGAAATGAAGCTGACCAAGGTATGTAGGAATGTTTTCCTCCATTTGCTGTGTTGGATCATAGAAGCAGATTTGGAGACAATAACACAATGCTCTGAAGGTGGTTTTTGTAGTTTCTCTGTTACTGTCAAGATGGGAAAAAAGCAGTGGTGGAAACATAATTCGGTGATCAGGGCACTTGGGTCCCTGGGATCATGATCCACTCTGCAGCTCTGCCACAGCTTTCCCCTATGACCCTACAAGTCACATAATCTCCCTGTGGCCCTGCTCCACACCATAAAACTCCCTTTGCTTTCAGAATCAGCCGTAAATGGTAATTTAAGGTGACTGATATGTATAGGAATTATAACAGAAAACAGACAGAGAGCAGGTTATTGTAGTAGGGAAATAAAACTTTCAAACAGTTTATGTTCCTCTGTTAATGAAGATATAAACCAAAACTGGTCCTGTGATGCTGCAATTGTTTTTATGCAAATAATTTATCAGTTAGGCTCAACCATGAACTGCTGATAAAAATGCACTGAATTGCTAAAATTAATTTTCCATCTCAGACCATATCCTGTTTTCCCTTTCTGATTGAATCTATTTTCTGTTTGGCAGTGGTGACAGCCATGATCCTTGATACTGGTTATTGTGCCAGGAAATCTCTCAAAATAAAGGCTTGTATTGAACAAAATCAGTTTCCTTAGCTGTAAAAGATTCACCAGCTGCTATAAGACATGCCAAAAGCGAGACAAGCAGCAAGTTTTGCTTGGCTGATCAAATTTTATTACAATTTTTCTGAGTTGAACTGAGAATTATACAACATGCAGCAATAAGGGACATTATGTCTAAACATATCTGAAAATGTCTGCTATGTACCTGCCCAGCCAGTGCTGCCAGTACAGCTGGTACAACTTCACTTGCCTTTTGAAAGGATGTTTCAAATTGTTACCTTTTTTTGGTGGTTATTCAACAAATTTCCTTTGAAGAATAATGGAAACTTTTGATTTGAGGCTGCAGTTTTGGGGTTTTTTTGCATATTGGAAGGATCATGTAAAAATTCAATGTCATCTGAGTTGCAACACCAGTAATTTTCCCTCCTGTCTTGGATCTACCCTGGAGAACATAATGTTGGGGTAAATATAAATATGGAAAATTCATCTCCCTTACAACCCATTTGACTCCACAGCACAATTCATAACAAGCAGGCTGTGTTTGAGATCCTTGGCCCACCTGCACTGTTCCTTCAGTGACAGACAACAAAAAGAACAGGCTACAGGAAAGGTTATGCAATGTCCACACCCCTTGTGCTTTCTGGTGATTTCTTTTTTTTTTTTTTTTTTTGTATTCTAATCCTGCTAATTGCCTTATTCCAAATGAGTGCACATGTGCTGCTACCAGTGTGGATGCAGCACTAATCTGTCAATGGCAGCAGTATAAAGGCAGATGTTTTTCAGGATGTATGATGGCATGGCATCATTTGAAGTGATATCAGGCTGTGACCGAGTGCAGACAGGCTGGTTCAGGTAAAGTATACAAATCACAGATTTTGGCCCCAAACAGTTTTTCTTTGGTATTTATAGTAAACTTTCTTATGGTTGCATTTTTTTACATTATAAGGTGGTCACTTACTAATTTACCAGGAACTCGTTTATCAGAACTAAATTATTTAACATAAACTTGCTTTTTAAAGTATTTACGTATTCTAATCGAGTGAAAATCCATGATTTGGGTTAGGAGGAATAAATCTAGACATTTTACTACCGTTCTCACTGTCAGGTAAATTCCCAATTTTCAAAAGATCTTTTCTCAAGAACCTTCACACTCTGCTATTGTCACTATATTATCCTAAAAAGTAGACTCTGCATTTCAAAAGGAATCTCCTCTTTAAATAATTTGAATTCAATGTCAAGCTATTATTATTTTCTGAAATCTCATTTAGTTTCCTCATATTTAGCCAGACTTTACTGTATTTTTGAAGGTCTGATAGCAGACTCATTAACTACTCTGTGTCACGAGATAAAAAGGCAGATTTTCTTCATATTGTAAATTTATATGAAAAAGCAAGTTATCATTTTTCTTTTCCATTCAGTGGAATGCAATTCCCTTGCACTCTGCCTGGCTCTGTGCTGCTCTGCCAGTGTCTGACTGTTCTGGATAAACCCTGCTGTCTCTTTTCTGCTCTCACAAGGTGGCAATGTTGATCTGCGCAGGGTTCCTCATTGCCTGGATCCCTTACGCCGTGGTCTCGGTCTGGTCAGCCTTCGGACGGCCAGACTCGGTCCCCATCCACTTCTCAGTGATACCAACGCTGCTTGCAAAGTCAGCAGCCATGTACAACCCCATCATTTACCAGGTCATCGACTGCAAGTTTGCCTGCTGCCGGCCGGGACGGCTGAGGGCCAAGAGCTCTTTGAAGAAATCAAGGTAATTTCTTCTTTGGGGAGTGGGATATCTTTAAGAACTCCATGTTCCAAAAAGTACCAAACTAAGATCTACCAAGAATCACAGCTCACTGAATCTTATTTCTTGGGTTTGACCATGACCATTTTGATTTGGGATTCTTCTTGCCATGAGAATTTGTAAAGTGACTGTAGGTGTACAAGGAGAAGAAATAAGACAGTCCTTACTTTTAGATCCAGCTGCAACTCCATTTATATAGTTTGGAAAAAAAACCCTATTGGTTTTAATGTGTGTTGAATCAATTCTGTCTTTCTAATCCTTTTCTTTCTCATCATCCTATGAGTTTCCTCCGGAAGGTGTTGATGACCTCTATTGCCAGTGAAGAAAATGGAAGAGAATTTTGTTAATTCCTTCCATAATTAACCTGTTAATACTATGCATTTCAGGCACAGAATCAGCAGGGAGAGGTAGCAGTTCCTTAGCCACCCAGCAGGCACCATTCATACCAAGAAAACCAACCTCAAACCAGACAAATCAAAGTGTAATTATCTCATAAGAAAGTCTCCTTTTTTTTATTTACAACCCTCAGGCAAAGTTTGTGCTGCGCACCTGTGGAATTCCTGAAGACACTAATTATGCACTTGGAGGAAAAGTATTTTGTTTTATGTAGTATATAAAGTATTATATAGTATATATAGTATTATATAGTATATGTAATGTTCTATATAATATATAAAGTATTATATAGTATATATAGTATATAAAGTTCTTCATTACACCAGAAAAGTGCCTGACTTTTGTGGTTGAACAAGGAGATAATGATGGATGTTAATCTGACAGTGTAGACTGTCACAAACACCCTAGCACACATAAGTGACTGTGAAACAACAGAATTCCAGTAATTTGCTCCAAAGGCCTAAAACATATGTGCCTTGATAGAAACATGAAGCACCATTTTATCATTCATATTATTCCCCTACCAGTTCCAGCATTTTGGTGTGTTGCTCAGTGAGTCAATCTTGAGCTTCCACAGCTTCATGTAGCAGATCATTCCATAATCTCGCACAGAGATTCATTTCATCTGCAGAAGATACAGAGTTTATATATGTTGTAAATGTCTGAGGTGTTGAATTTATGGTTTGCCAAAATCTCTTCTGCAGTATTAGTCAAATGGGACACATGTTCAAAGAGCCTTCAGTGGATATTTGGTAGCTGGATTTGTGTTTAACATCTGAAGGAGTCTCACCCAGTCCCTCAAGCTGAATGCAAGCTGGCTTCTCCAGGCCTGTGCAGTGACCAAAACGGTCTGGAGGAATCACTTCCCAGAAGTAGGAATTTAATTCCCATCTTGGTGTGACAAAATGACTCTTGTACCCTCTCTGCCCACAGGACATACACGATATCTGCACAGGGGGACTCCACAGCCATGAACGAAACCCAGCTGGAAGCTTGAGGGCTCATCTCACCAACAGCAAATGGAATCTGGTGACAAGCAACCCGACTGGCTCAAGTTCCTCTTTGTGTAAACAAATTAAAACCTGGTGACAGGTTTATTTTACTCCCTATTCCTATGTACAACGTACAGTTCTTTCCATCCTGACCAAAATAGTGAATTAGAGTTGGGTAAATATTCTAAGTACTGAGAGGAAGAAGAAACAGAGAAAATTTGTGTTTATTAAAATTTTTCCTTTGCTTGAGATATTTTAAAATGCCCTTTTTTGTTCTTAGCACTAACAGAAATGATAGTTTGGGCAATGTTTTCCCTCAGGGGAAGGAAAGTATTCATAAAGACCAGTTTTAGTTTACCAAAGCTAATCTCCCTAAATTCCTGCTGCAGTCACTGGAGACCTGGAGCATGAGAGAAAGGATTCCTTAGAGGAAAAATCTGAGTCAGAGCTTCATTTCTCAGGGCTCTGAATTGCACATTGGGGAAACATTAGCTGACTGGATTTCCCTGGTGAGCATCTTCCCAAATCACGAGGCTACAAGCTGTGTTAAACCCACTTTGACTTCAGTCCTTCAAAAAGCAGAAATATTTTTATTTTAGTCATGGCAAAGTCAGAGGTGCCACATTCATACACAGGATCACTTTACGAGATGCAGAATAACAAATCTTTTCTCAATCGTAAATGAGAGGGGAAAGGTCTCTTGCTCAAATTGTAGATTCATTTAGGAGTTATGAATAACTTTGTAATAAAAAAGCAGAAGTGAGATGAAGTCAGCCCAAGCCAAACTGAGCAAATCAATATTTAACACACTTTTATCATTCTCTGGCCAAAATTACAATGAAATAGGATGGCAATAAGCAGAAAGATTTTTCACTGTGCATTTTACTCATCCCAATTCTTTATCAGATCAATTAATGAGCTATAAAATGGCAAAATGTTCCTCAATCCAAGCCATGAAACCAGATTCAAAACTGGTGTGTTTGTGAGAAGTTGTTACAGAACTGGTAACAGAGGAGTCTTTCCAAAGTGCAGCTACAGATTAATTTTTAAACAGTAAGTCCTGGAAGGATGAGGATTAGTAACTACTTAAGAGAACAAAGTTCTGCAAGTTCCTAATGCATTCAACAGAAAAACAACGTGTCTTGAGATGACCTGCAGAGTAAGGCAGCTGAAACAGTTGTGCTGGATAGGAGACATAATTATTCATAGTGTTTCCTTTTTCTCCTTTGGATTTACCTTAAGGTGCAGGAATCACTACAGATCAAAAATCAGCATTTCAGTAAAAGCAGATTTTTAATGCTTAAAATAATGATTTTGATGTTTCTATGTAATTTCTTTAAGAATTATATGATTCTATTAAAAATAAGTTAATTACAAATCAAAGAGTCTCCTCTAGCATAGATTTATGCTGACTGTTAAAAAAAACAGTACAAGGGCAAAGCTTTCTTCTGAGTTGTGCCTTTAAGGAAAGAAAACATTTGTGAAAGAGGTTCAATTACTTTCCTGTTTAATATTTCCTGTTAAACATTAATTTATTCTACTGTTATTTCAGAATTGTGTTTAACATTCATTTCCTGCCACACTGAACTGGACTCCTTTTGTAGCTGATCCATGGTGATGTTAATATTGCTTTATACAATAATATCATCAAGGTTTAATCTGATGTGTGTTGGCATGTCCCAGCACTCCCATTCTGCAGTTGCTGTTTTATCAAATGATATTCAGACCACGTAGAATTCTGTTGAATTTTCCCAAAGTATTGCTTCCTCTTCTGCAATGCTTTAGCAGGTTTGAATAAAAATGAAGAGAACTTGCAGAGGTACAAAGAGTTGCCACATTACCTATCCATGGTTTTGTTTTAATTTTTCCACAGAAGCTGAGTTCTATAATTTCTACAGACCTTTCAGCATAACCAACTCATTCCTTAATTATGGCTGCAAATTGAGTCCACAAATTGATCCAGAGCAGAAGGCATCTTTTACAATGTCTGCAGACTTGGTTATGAAGATGTTAACAACCTTGCCTGCATTATCCTGCAGCTTTTATTATTTTCTTCATCCAGGCAAACTTTTGTTTGTATCTATAGGTGTTTATCATAACTGAGGTGTGGTGTAAATCAGACATACAGCGGCCCTATAAATGAGATTAGCTGGACCAGCACTGTTGGTAAAATTTTAGGAATTGCTCAATACTCTGACCAGATTTAGGGGTAGATCAACTCACAGTTTGTGCATGAGCCCTTCCTCTAATTTAAATTGGGGAGGCTTTTCTCTTTATTTGTTAAAATTATGTACTTTTCTCAGAATTGCTACTGGGTCATCCCAGAAGTGGATACATGTTTGTGGTAGGGCTAAATTTAATATTTTTAAATAGTGTAAGATATTTTTGGATTCCACTATAGCAAATGCACTAGATACATGTTCTACCTAAAGAATTCAGAAGTTTAATAAACTCGAAATATGAACTTCCAGAATAATGACAAACATTTCATATGACTTAAAGCTATTTATTGTCATATTATTTAAATATTTTTTTAAATTAAATGCTATAACTATTCTTGTCTGAAAATTCAGTTTTGCCATGACTGAACAGTATCTTGCTCCAGGAGAAACTTCAGGAGTCCAGCTTGTGAAGGAGTTAAGTATGCTGAGCATGTGTTCAAGTGGAAGGTGTTCCCCTGAATCAAGCAGGGCATGCACAATTCAGCATGCAGTGCTTAATTTAAATGCAGAATCTGAACTTAAGAGCAAATGGATCTCATTGGATTCAATGACAAAAGAGAACTGGAGCACTCTCTTTGTTCACCTGTATATAAAGCAGCTCACACAATTTCTGCTCTGTTTGGGATCGCAGTGGTGAAGGAATGAGGGCTCTTATTATGGATTCAAATTTTCAAGGTCAGCTTTGAATTGATTTGAAGGTTGTAGACAGATGGTTCTAAAGATAATACTTTGCCACAGATGCTCAGGACAGAGTTTCTTCTTCTGCCTGTGTTGAGGCTGATAATTGATTATTATATAAAACTGAGATATGTAAGCTTGGTCTGAGGTCATCAAAAGACAATGACTCTCTCACTTTCCTGTTCTAGAAAACTTCTAAATGTTTTACAAATTTCAAACTTATGCCATCTTGTGATCTGGGCTTTGTCAAAGCACCAGCAGTATCCAACCTACTCGGTGTGATGAATGAGTAAGGAATACGACGCTGAAGGAAGATTTCTTTATTGCATTTTCAATATTTCATCCTCCTTGTTATATTAAGAATTTTCTTCTTATTAAGAATTTTCTTCTTTTTTCTTTTCTTTCTTCTTCTTTAGTTTATGTATAAACATTAAACTAAATGTTTTTCAATGAAAATAGTGCCATCAAGAATAATAGGTATAAATGAGGATTTTTTATTATGTAACCTTTGTGTGCATTCAGACCAAGTTGCCAAGAGGCAAAATTCTATTTGAATTCACTGTCCATGACTTGAAGGAAGTAATTGACAGAGGCTAACACTCCACTTAGATAATGAGGTGACCTGGACAGCAAGATTGAGAGTAAGAGAGGAATGAAAGCAATACTGTCTTTTGAAGGGACAATGAAATTATGCAAAGAACGTGGATATGGAAATTTTTATTTGTCATTTTCAGTCATAGATGAAAAATGACTATAAACCTTCTTCTGCAGACTTTGAAATCTGTTGAGAATGAAGAAATATCAAGATTTAAAATTCCTGAAGAGACTCTTGAAATATGAGATTTAAACAAACTTTTATGACAGAAAAAAATTAAGTGCTAAAAATGTAAATTATGGTTGTGGAATTTTGGAAGAGAGTAGGGAGCATTTGTCCATGCAGGTGAATGCAGCTGTAGCAAATTTTATTTCTAGACCTGTAATAAAAATGAAAGGAATCTAACCCAACAAGTTATTTGTTAAAAATATTTATCACCCACAGCACAAGCCTGCTGATAGCAGAAGATTTTTGGCTTTGTGTCATTGAAAACAAAAGAAAATTGATGCGTCCTCATACAAAGAGAGTGTGATTAATGAATGACAGGCACACTGACAATGAATTGGATTCCTTGGTGGAACTTTTCTCTTGGCTGACAGTGTCTTTTAGAGCTTGTCCCACCTCCACCGTGCAGGGTGGTCTTGGTCATGAGAACAAACCTGAATAGCTGCTAAATGACCAGGCACTTATTTCCCCTGTAGTTCTACATTATTCATTTCATGTTTATGTTTCCACCTCTTCTTCCCACCAGGGAACTTTCAGACACATCAGTCTGTATCCCTCAGGAACGCAGCTTTGGCATCTTTTTAGTCACTTTTCCCAGCTCAGGATGTCCTACCATGAGTCTCCCCCGGGTAAGAAGCTCTTGACAAATGATGGTCACCATAACAGCAATTTCTCTTCTCTCAAGGAAGGTTTGGTTGGTTCCCTCCACATCTGTATTTTCCCAAGTTTCACAGGCCTTTGCAGGTCTCTGGGCCCAAGGAAGAACATTTAGAACATTCATTTATCTGAAACTAGATTCTCTGCTGATGAGCATCACCATTATCATCACCATGTTTGCAGGTGTTCTGGAGCTCTTGTGCATCCCATAATGACATTTTTACTATCTACATGCTTTGCTTTTCAGGATGGCTCCTATTCTCCTCCACCACATGGTGCACGTGGTGAGGGCTGTTTTTGTAACTGCCTGGAATGATCTTCGCTTCCCCAGTTACGCCTGTTTCACTTTGCAGCTGGGGAAGAGGGTCTTGGGCATATAAACCACAGTAAACCTTTTGGAAATATGAGGTGGAGCTACAGATTTTCATGCTCTCATTACTTGTGAATATACAGGATGCTTCATTAGTTTTGAATAAAGCCTTTTTCGGTCACTGGCTGCAGTTTTGTGTCTCAGCTGGGTAGGAAAGAAAACCCACCAGGTTTGTTAGAGGTCTATTCTGAGAGACACATTCCGTATCAAATCAGGTGACTGCAGCAAATGAATGAAAGTTCCTGATAAAGGTTTGGT